CTGTTCCTTTAAAGTCAGTGGACCTATTCCAGATTACTCCAATGAAATTCAGAAGAGAATCATTCTCTACAATCAGAGTTCAGGCCATTCTGCTCAGGTACCATACAGAATCATAGAATCATTAAGGTTGGAAAAGACCTCCAAGATCATCAAGTCCAACCATCAACCCAACACCACCATGCCTACTAAACCGTGTCCCAAAGTGCCACGTCTACATGTTTTTTGAACAATTCCAGAGACAGCAATTCAACCACCTCTCTGGGCAGCCTCTTCCAATGCTTGCACTTTTTCAGTATTTTTCCGAATATATAATCCAAACATCCCCTGATGCAACTTGAAGCTGCTTTCTCTCGTCCTATCACTAGTTACATGGGAGAAGAGACCGACCCCCACCTCACTACAATGTCCTTTCAGGTAGTTGTAGAGAATGAGAAGGTCTCACCTCAGCCTCCTCTTCTCCAGGCTAAACAACCCCAGTTCCCTCAGTAGCCCCTCATAAGACTTGTGCTCCAGACACTTTGCCAGCTTTGTTGCCCTTCTCTGGACACGATCTAGCACCCCAACGTCCTTCTTGAACTGAGAGGCCCAAAATTGAACACAGTATTCGAGGTGTGCCCTCACCAGTGCCGAGCACAGGAGGATGATCGCTTCCCTACTCCTGCTGGCCACACTATTCCTGATACAAGCCAGAATGCCTCTGGCCGCCTAGGCCACCTGGGAATACTGTTGGCTCATATTCAGCTGGCCGTCAACCAGTATCCCTAGGTCCTTTTCCACTGGGCAGCTTTCCAGCCACTCTTCCCCAAGCTTGTAGGATTGCATGGGGTTGTTGTGACCAAAGTGCAGGACCTGGCACCTGGCCTTGTTAAACCTCATACAGTTGACCTCATCCCATCGATCCAGCCCACCCAGGTCCCTCGGCAGAGCCTCGCTACCCTCCAGCAAATTGACACTCCTGCCCAATTCGGTGTCATCTGCAAGCTTACTGAGGGTGCACTCGATCCCTTCATCCAGTTCATTGATAAAGATATTAAACAAGACTGGCTCCAGAACTGAGCCCTGGGGAACACTGCTTGTGACCAGCCACCAACTGGACTTAACCCCATTCACCACAACTCTCTGGGCTTGGCCATCCAGCCAGTTTTTTATCCAGCAAAGAGTACACCTGTCTAAGCCATGAGCTGCCAGCTTCTCTCAGAGAATTCTATGGAAGACAGTGTCAAAGGCTTCAGTGATTACTTCAGTGGGTTTAGGGTTTGGTTTTTTTTCAGAAAGTTATTGCTTTTTTGAATGACTACCAAATTGCATTTTGAACGACTGTAACAAATAGCTTTTGTTTATTACAAAATGTTTATTACAAACCATTATGCCTTTCCTCTTTCTGTAATGTGCCACTGTTTTATCACACAACTCAAAGACCTACTGCAGCAAACCAAGTTAGTGACAGTCTACAGACAAAAACAGGAAACCCACAACATCAAGGCTGGAGTTATCTTGTTTTTTACATGGCTAGCTAGTCACAAGAAGAAAACTGCCTCACTTGTAGCAGTCCAGATCGGAATGAAGAAAAGTCTCCCAGGACAGGGCAGATTATGTCCATTGCAGGTGTCACAACACATAGCCATGACTTACCTACCCTTTTCCTAGAGGATAATAAATTCCTTTACAAAGCTTGCGCTGTGTATCCCTGCTTATAGACTATTTAGTGGACCTGTCCAACTACTCACAGTTGGGGTGTACTACTCATACTAGTTTTGAATGCTGACTTACAGAAAGAGATTTTCAAGAAAATAAGTTAAAGCAGAGATGCACAGGTGGTTCTACATGAGCTCAGCTTTGTTTTTACATACACATAAACCGTTGACCAAGTCTGGGACTAAGAGTGGACTTAGCTGCACCTAGACTCCTCTCTCAGACAGATTTTAGAAAGCAAGGGGGGTCTACTCCGAACTTTGTGCCTCAGCGGGAGGGTCTTCCTTATCTCTTAGCCACGTAAACTGTTGACCAAGTCTGGGACTAACAGTGGACTTAGCCACACCTAGACTCCTCTCTCTCAGTTGGAGTTTAGAAAGCAAGGGTGTCTACCCCGAACCTCATGACTCAATGGAAGGGTCTTCCTTACCCTTACAATCCGTAACACCTCTGTGAATCATTCCAATTCAAGTGTAACTTGATTTCCTCTGTGTACTTTTTCCATGCAGTAATGGAGAAAACCTTGCCATCTTCAGCTCTCTAACTAAGTTACTGTTTTAATTAATTTTATTGAATCATTTTGTTAATCAACTGATATTTAAGTGTATTAAAATATTATAATCAAATCCTGCGATTTGCTGTAAAAGGCACAAATAAATTATAAACCACTATTAAATTAAAAACTACGTAAAATTATTTAAATTATGAAAGGCTGAGAGAGTTGGAGTTGTTCAGCCTGGAGAAGAGAAGGCTCCAGGGACACCTTATTGCAGTCTTTCAGTACTCAAAGGGGGCTTAGAAGAACAATAGGAACAGACTTTTAGCTGGGCCTGTTGCGATAGGACAAGGGGTGACGGTTTTAAACTCAAAGAGGGTAGATTTAGACTAGATATATGGAAGCCATTTTTTACAGTGAGGGTGGTGAGACACTGGAACAGGTTGCCCGGAGAGGTGGTCAATGCCCCATCCCTGGAAACATTCAAGGCCAGGTTGGACAGGGCTCTGAGCAATCTGATCTAGCTGAAGATGTCCCTGCTCATTGCAGGGGGGTTGGCCTAGATGACCTTTAGAAGTGCAACCCAAACTATTCTACAATTTTTCCAGACAGAAAAAAACCCAAATGAACCCACAAACAAAAACCCCCAAACTCACCAAAAGCCAGCAATGCTATGCCACAATGAAAAATCCTTTTAAGACCAATGGAACCTTCCCTTTTTTATTCCTCCCTCCAAAGTATTGTATGTGTCTTATTTCCTCAAGTTGTAGTGAGAAACACAATGAGTTAAATGTGTTTGGAGGTTATGCATTTCTTGTAAACTCCGCGACAGATGGTTTGGCCAAGATTTAAATAATACATTTCATTCTTTTTTTCAGAGTGGTGATCTTACAGTTCATATAAATTAACAGATTCTACATGTTCTTCCATGCCAACATAACACTCACAGTCCTGATCAGTAATTCTACAGCAAAGCCCTGCAATTTTCTCCAGACTGAAAACTGGACTTTTCAATCTGTTCCTGTGTGTCTGAACAGGAGTCAGAATTACTTTTTCCACACACCATCCAAAAACCCAAACCCTTATCTTTAATACAGAGGTTAACAAATTTCAGGTGTCTAAAGACAGAAAACAAAAAACCTGGAATTAGCATCATTTAAGCCTAGAAAGATAAAATTACTAATTCCCACAAAACCTAATTACAACACAAAAGTACAACTGAATACAATACTAGAAAGACAATGAGGGAAAGTTAAAATACAAAATAATCAAACTGAGAAAAAAATTTTAAAGAAATTGCATGCTCGCAAATCTGTATCAATTTGAATGCCTTATAAGACACACCCATACAAGGAAACAAAAAAAGAAAAGGCCAGCCTGAAAGAGATTTGAGAAGAGACATAAAACGTTAAGAGCAGGCAACCCCCAACAGAGGAAGCTGCCACCTTGTTCCAAAACTTATCCAGCTTAAGAAACAGTTATCTCTAAAAGCACTGTAGAACAGGCCGGGTTTATCACAGCATTTCAGTATGTGTTCAACAGCAACATGTTCACATCCTGGACTGCTTCCCTGGATCCAAACTACAGTGCTCAGCACCGCAAGTCATTAAGCACATAGCCTGTAAGCTATATCTTTTTCCAAGTCTTGGGCTGCAGAATATGATAACTCTTTGAGATGCACAGCAATTAAGAAAAAGAACAAACCTGAAGCAAATAAAGCTTGTCTTTATGGCACATCTGGAATTCAAAGCAACATTTCTCCCTTCTCTACTTTTTTTTTTATTTCACAAATAACATATGATCGCTTGTGTATAACACCTCCTGCATTACCTATTACTGTTTCTAGATATCCCCATTTATCTTTCCAGGTTATGCAGATAAGTATAAGCATACTGCATAATTCTGTCTTAAATTCAGTACTGAAGCAGACAAAGATTACGTATATATTTTGAAGAAGCAAGAATACAGGTATGACAAGGAACTTTGCAGTCTTCCAGTAACCACACAAGAACACAGAGAATAATTCACGAGGCCACCAGAAGTCAGAAATGGTATAGTAGCCTCTTTTCAACTTCCTCATGTTGTATTTTCATACTTATTAGATAATCTCAACAAATAAGCCAGTTTTTTTCCTAAGCCTAAACAACTAAAAAATACTCCAAAATAGAGACAAAATACATATTTTGCTGTAAGTGACACATAAAAGGTGAATTCCAGACAGCTTGGGGTATACGCGTGCACGTGCATATGTGTGTGTCTAAGGACAAGACCACAGGGGGACTGCCTACTTGGGGGTCAGGGGAGTCCCAAACAGCAGGGGTGCATGAGTGTGTGTTGCTGCAGTATGGGAGGCAGTCTGCACTGGCAACTGCAGTGGAGCTGCGGCCTCAGGGGCTCACATGTCCAGATGCCAGCAACTGGTGAGACTGGGATCCAGGAGCCACCTACTGCGCACACTGCCTCTATGCCCCATTGCTGGAGATATCCGTACTGTACATATCATACATATCCATACATTGTACATATATTCCCACTAGTAAACCTCCATCCCACTCAGCCAGAAAGCGGAGCAGGATGTGGCTTCTGGTGCTGTTCTGTGTTCTTGTGAGTGCTCTGTGTGTCTGCGTTATATACATATAAGCACCAGTATGTGGCGTATACGTGTGCTGCATGTGCATGTACCAACTGGGAAGACAGATGGTCTTGCCACTTGTTGGACCTCCGGTCACAAAGCTGTGGCAGCCTTGTCTCTCTTGGGCTGCAGAATCCAGCCTAAATTCTGTAACAAAATCCATTAATGGTAAGTTTTTACCTGAGAACAATCAGCCTTGGCTATTTCTGTAGTAGCCTGGAGTACATCACGAAGACTGTCTCCGTTTTCTTGGATCAGTAGATAAGCCAGCAGAAGAAAAACATGGGCAGGGACTTGAGTTGTAACAGGTAGCAGTGATTTCACTGAAGATAACCAGTTAGTAACTGCAGACTTCTCTTTCATGAGCTCTATGATCTTCCAGGTTGTATGCAATGAGCTGTAAGAGTTGGTTATGGGGAAAAGGAGTTTGCAGGACACCTAAGAACAAGTGAGACAAACAACATTCTCAATCAAACAAATAAGGTAACATAACAAAAAAAGAAAAAAAAATTAAGTAATCCAGTTCTGTCATCCAAAACGCATTTTTTTTTTAGGATCCCAATGCACTAAATGTAAAGAATAAATTGCAATACAGTCCTCTACAATCCTTTATATGAATTCTTGCACTAAGAATGTTTGAAAATGTTTCTAAATCCCTACTACTCCTTTATTTGGCATCCACCATTCCCGTTCCTGCTGGTAACTGCAATGCTACTTCCTCACTAAAATGGACACAATAAAACTGGAGTACATTAAAAGCTTCTCTTCCTGACAATGACAGGTGCATCACAAAAGTGTAAATATCATCTACATTACTTCAAGGAAATTCTCTTAACTTTTGTACTTAATAAAACACCACAGTTAAAGTTAATTCGACTTTACATTTTTTGTTTAACTGCTTCGCTTCTCAGAACAAAATGTTCTATAGATGTAGTCATGGAAGACAACATTTAGCAGCAAGAAAGTAGTAAAATACAAATGAGGAATGCTCCTAACTCAGGGTTTTATATATATGAAAGTATATATACTTTCAAGCTCCTGCAAATTAATGTGGAAGTTCAAATTTTTTCATTAAAAAAAAAAAAAGCTTAACCCAACACAAACCATCTTTTTCCTACTAATTCTTTGTTTCCTTAGAAAATGTTATGTTTTCAGAAATGTCCTTCCAGTATCAGGGCAGTAGTTGGCAGGCAGCAATCAGATGAAGAACATTTATGTAACAATCAGGTCAAGAAAGTATTCAGTAACAGATCTCCAAATGAACATTAAAAATGTAATTCAGACTCCAACAAGACAGGGCCCTCTCACCTTTAAATTACCAGGGAAAAGAAGAGATTTTTGAGTGGCAAAAGCTGTTCTCCATAAAGCTGCAGAATTTCATTTTAATCACACTGCTCAATGCAATGTGAATCTATTTTTGGCTAATGGAACGTAGAACAACCCTGTACTTTAGATGACCTTTTAAAAATAACATTAAAATAAGCTTATTCCATTACTTACTTCCAGTACTAACTACAATTACTGTGAAAAATAGAGCAATCTATAATGATCTCTCTGGCTGGCAAGATCACTTGGAGCCAAAAATCTCTTCTGGATACAGCTGTGAAACTGCCATTTATTGATAAAGGTATTTAAACTTCATCCAAGGGCATACACTGGGCTAAGAAGAGCTTCAGGATCTGTAAGTTGTACTGTTTATAGTTGCCTGCCCCTATAAGATCACAGGACTTGAAATCAAGATCAGACTATTACAGGTGGGTGTTGTTTATTTTTTAAAAGCCCGGGAAACACTGCTAAAATTGGTAAAGCCTGAAATATTATATTGGTATTTCCCATTCCACATTACTTCCCCAAAGGTTTTGCTACATAATTGTACTCGTTCCCTTCTCACTTTATTTCAGCTGCAAGAAAACAAGCTATCACTATATTTTTACTTTAATGCTGCACACCAATCAAGCAAGTTATGTAGAAAATTTCAGTCTGCCAACACTGAAAAATATATGTAAAATCCCTCAATGGCAAAGTAGAAGTGCAGGTTAGCCCTGTCCTAACATTTTTCAAAACATTACTACTACAAATAGAATGACTCCCCATTACGATCACTACCCCCAAAAAAAAGCCATTGAAGGAAATATAGCTTTTGTTTGTGGTTAAAAGTAAAAAAGCAGCATACTGGCTATGGAAAGACTGCCAAATACTCATGAAGGACTACAAGAACATTGCTAGGGCATGCAGAGATGCAGACAGGAAAGTTAAAGCTCTGCTAGAACTGAAACTGGCCAGAGACCTCAAGAAGAAAGGGTTCTGCAGATACGTGACCAGTAAGCAGGAGCACAGGGAAGACACAGACCCATTACTAAACAGGGCAGGGAAACAAGTTACTAATAATGCTGACGAGGCAGAGGTTCTTGATACCTCCTTCCTTCTGTCTTTACCAGCATAACTGGCAACTGCACCCCAGCTCACAGGATCAAGCAGCTACAACAACATGTGTGTTGACCCACCAGCAGTGGCCCTCTGCAAGGGCTCAACCCACACAAACCAATGGACCCTGAGGGAATCCACCCCAGGGTGTTGACAGAAGTGGCTGACATTGTTGCAAGGCTGCTGTCATCTTTGAAAAGTTGTGGCAATCAAGGGGCAACCCTGATGACTGGAAGAGGGCAAATGTCATACCTTTCTACAAGAATGGCTCAAAAGAGCACCCAAGAAATGACAGGTCCATTAGCCTTACTTCAGTCCCTGGGAAAGCAGTGGAACAAGTCCTCCTAGAAACTATTACAAACCAAATGAAGCAGGTGATCAGGGAAATCCATCACAGATTTACCAAAGGCAAATCGTGCCAGGCTAACCTGATCATCTTCTACAACAAAGTATCTTCTGTTGACATGGAGACACCAGTGGATGTTGTTTAGCTTGACTTCAGCAAAGAATTCAACATTGTTTCCCACAGCCTTCTGCTGGACAAACTGTCAAGATACACAGACTGGATGGGTGGTCTGCGAGATGGGCAGGGAATTGTCTCACAGTATGCAGTCAGAGGGTGGCAATCAATGGTTTTTACTCAGACAGGCAGCCTGTCAAAAGCAGAGTCCTGCAGGGATCAATATTGAGCCCCGTGTTGTTCATCATTTCCCAAGCAGCTAGGGAGACCTTATCGCTCTCTACAGCTGCCTGAAAGGAGGTCTTAGGAAGGTGGGGGTCGGTCTCTCCTCCCAGGTAATGGGCGACAAGACAAGAGAAAATGACCTCAAGTTGCACCAGGGGAGGTTTAGATTGGATATTAGGAAAGATTTCTTCACTGAAAGGGTTTTCAAGCACTCGAATGGACTGCCCAGGGAAGTGGTTGAGTTCTCATCCCTGGAGGTATTTAAAAGACGGGTAGCTGTGGCACTTAGGGACATGGTTCAGTGGTGGAATGGCAGCGTTAGGTTAATGATTGGACTTGATCATAAAGATCTTTTCCAACCCAAAGAATTCTATTATTCTATGAAATGCAACAAAATTGTTAAATGCATCCTCTGCCAGCCCCAAAAGAAGGAAAAAACATTATAGCTTTACCAATTCCTTTTTGTCCTTCACACCAATCTTCTGTAATATTCCCAAAAGGTTTACAGCCAGCTGCTGCCTGGTAGTCCCAGAATCATCCTCTGATAGGCAGTCCCCAACTGTTGCAGAAGATAAGATCTGTAGCACAGGCATCACCAAAGTAAGAGCTGTGGTTGAGATGTTCTGAGTTTCTGAATACGAAAGGAGCTTGTAGGCTATTTAAGACAAGGAGGGGAAAAACAAAAATCATGCAGGGAAAAAAGCAGCAGCATAATTTGTACTTCTAGGCATGACACAAACATTTCTAGGAAACACTCTGGTCAAGCAAAGTAATAGTCCCTAGAATTACAGTATGTGCATACTAGAATTAAAGTGCAAAAGACTTTTTGATAAAAATCCATTTCTATTTAGACACCCATACATTTATGCTGTTTATAGTTAAGTACCCGATGGCAGCAAGAAATACAATAAGGGAATGTAGCACAGTCCTTTGCTTTTACTGGAATAACACCACTAATCAAAACTGCTAAGTCAAAAGCTCAGTCAAACATTGCCATGACTGTCAGGCCCACACTCTTAAGATCTGTCAAAAGAAGCCATTCAGGATGCATCAATCTCAGCTGAGAATACCCTCTTGTTGACTCAAAAATGAAACCGATAAGCTCCAAGATAGCAAGGAGCTTAGAATACAGTAACATCCATGGGAAAAGTCAGTGTAGCAGGAAAATTTATCTCTATTGCCATTAGATCAAGTGTTACTTTTTAAATTCAGGAAAAATCCTGCTTATAAAAAAAAAAACCATTTCACCACCCAGTTCAACTTCAGCGGAATGCAGTGCTTATTTTCATAAACATGAAGAAACAAAGACATGGTCTTAAGAATGTGGACTCCTCTTTCGCAAGAGCAGCTTTACCTAGACTCAAGACAGACTTCTGCTGACTTTCTGGTGTTTGCAACAGTAGAAGTGCTAGCCCAATTATATACTGTTCCACTGGAAATACCTACAAGGAAGAAGAAAGAGGTTCAAGTCTTCTTTGGTTTTTAGTGGCATTAAACAGTACAAATGGGCAACAACCAAAACTCTGTAAAGATTTCCTTCATGAATGATAGTGAGTGCACACACAGTGACACAGCACATGCAACGAAGCATATTAGAAATGTAAAAATAGTATTTTAAATGAGTAACTAGAACATTTTTATTTGTTACTTTGTTCAAACCATTTTAGCTCAGGTTAAACCAACTCCCATACTGAAAGGTTAACTGATATATACAAAACTAGTTAAGTTTTTACCTTTTGAAGGTCTTCAACCAAGAAAAAAAAAACAACTTAGAAGCTTTTGAAACAACACTGGTCACTTGCAGATGAATGCCATGTATCAATGTCTCTAAATACTGTCTTAAATGTGACATTCTTTAAATTTCATACAACTATTTTATTTTTCCTCCATGAACTCTTACCTCTTTTAAGAGCTCAAAGTTGTCCTCTATTAAGGCCATCAAAGATGAGCATTCTCCCGTTACATTTAAGCACACTTCACAGAAGCATAACAGTTGCAGACAAAACTGGGATAACTGAACTTTCCAAAACATGGGATAGCGCAGTAGGCTAAGGAATAGCTCTTGCAGAAAAAACAAGGCTTCTGTAACTTGCAGTAAGTCTTTAAGCTGTAGAGAAGTAGTCAAAAAACAAAACACAACATATTCTGGATTAGTTCCCCTGCCCTATCTACACAGAACTCCCCAAGTTTAGAATTAGTTCTATTAGCTCTGCAATGTTTCCATTGCAAATATTGCTAAGACTTTGAAGAAACACATTTATACACTAAACCCAGGAATCTCTTACCCAACTTCCCTGAAAAAAACAATAGATAAACTGCTGTTTAATGTTCTTAAGTAAAATTAGAAACATATGAAAGAATAAAAAGATTTCTTGGTAGTTGATGAGAAAAATCCCTTTCTCCTCAAAGGCAACAGCAAATTAATTCAGCTCTCAGGGTTCTCTCAGCAACATAAAAATTGCATGGGCATTTCATATAGTGGGTAAATATTCTTGTAACAGAAACATCCTGCTCTAGGATATTTTCTCTGTGATGTAACCAAGGTTTTAATATATGTCTCAAAATAGAAAGGCAGCAGTGTTACCTGCTTCTAGAGCACCATGTAATCTGCCTACCACAAAAATGAAAAGCTGAAGAGTGATACACAAAAGCAGTATCTCCACACTTGTAAGCCAAGTAAAGAGGCTTCAAGAAGCAGGTTGCCTCAAAATCCTAGTGTGTTAGCTCTTGAAAATTTTAGTTCAGACAAAGCCAGAAGTTCCGATCCAAACTCTAGAGCCAGCATTAAGGATAACACCATGATTTTTAGTTCTTTGGAACAAATTCTATGAATAATCTGCTCTAATCAGAAGCCTTATGTCCACTGAATGTTTCAGCAGAAAAGTCTGCAGATGACAAGCTGTACTTTTGACAGCTTGGTTGATATTGCCAGATAAAATGACTAGGAAGCATGTCAGCATTTATACAGTACAACAGATTAAATAAGGCTAAGCTTAAAGGAAGGATAAGAAGAACCTGAGGTTCAGAGAAAGAAGAAGGAATGACAGGTTATAGAACAGTCCATCAAACAGGCTTCTTGAAGGAAGTATTTCCCTTTCCATTGTGAAAGTTGTGTCTCAGGAAAGACAGACACATTCAAGTATTAATCTGAGTTTAAAAAATGGGACAGTTTTCTAGTAAAAAAAAGAAGTGCCAACAGGCATGTAAGAAAGAAAGGTTCATAACTAATTTTATAAGACTACTTTCAGTGCCATTTTTATGGCTAAATGTTACCAGGTCAGAAGCTCGGTCACACATTCAGGACACAATGTTATACTGAAGTTCAGGTAGAATCAAGACAAAATCAGAAATGTCCCCATGACTAGAAAAAGTCAGCATGTACCTATCATCACAAAGAGTAAGCCTGAACCAAGATAAATGTCTATAATACAAATTGTTATCCATCCAAAAGACTGTGAAAAGTAGCTACCAGTAGAAAGTAGACTTTACAAGTAAAATTCCTCCGGAAGAAGATGCTACCATATCCTTGATATGACATCCTCATATCAAGCCTATTTAGCTTCACATTATTGATATTATCAAACCCTCTCTCTATGGCAATGATACCACAGCACCTCATGTTTGACTGAATACGTTTGAAACTGCAGATTTTCTAATATAAAGAGGAAGGAAGAGGTACATAGGTACAAAAAAGCTTAACCAATGTCACAGTAAAGCATGAGGAAAAGCAGAGATATTAACCTTAATCAACACCCTAGACCCCTAACCAAAGGGAACAGAAAGATTAAATCCCCAGCTCCTAGCAAGTATCACTGTGCAACAAAAACACATTAAAAAACTTCAGCATACTCCAGTTTTGCCTTCAGTTCCACTAATCCCTCTGTTAAAAAGAGCGAAAAAGGAATGTCTAGGAGTACTTAAATCATGCTTCTCATATAGTTTGTTTCATTTTAATAGTATCCATGTTAAGTTAAAAATTGCATGGTTTTGAAAAATATTTTACCATTTAACAACACGCTCTCTCTCATGGGTATCTTTGCAAGTTTACTGTATGTTTACTGAAGCAAGCAGTGGCAACTAATTACGGTGAACACATTTCAATTTACATCTTACCATGTGTATCAGATTTGAACAATTCAAAAGCTTTACTTTCTACCAGAAAGAGCCAGTTTGTTGGATTTCTGTACTACTGTCGTGGTTTAACCCGGCTGGCAACTCAGCACCATGCAGCCGCTCGCTCACTCCCCCCTCCCTCAGTGGGATGGGGGAGAGAATCGGAAAGAAAATAAAAGGTTAGAGCCGAGGGCTGAGATAAAGACAGTTTAATAAGAGAAAATAATAGTAATAATGAGAATGATAACAGAATATACAGAATATACAAAACGAATGAGGCACAATGCAATTGCTCACCACCCGCCGACCGATGCCCAGCCCGTCCCGAGCTGCGAGCAGTCCCCGAGCCGCGCGCAGTCTCCCTGCGACCGACCGACCGAACTAACTAACCCCCCGCCCCGAGCATGACGTTATATGGTATGGAATAGCTCTTTGGACAGTTTGGGCTAGCTGTGCTGTACTCCCAGCTTGTTATGCACCTGGGCGAGCAGAAGCTCAAAAAGTCCTTGAGTAGTCTGAGCACTACTTGGCACAGCTGAAAACATCAGTGAGTTATCAACATTCTTCTGGTACTAAATCCAAAACACAGCACTATGCTAGCTACTATGAAGAAAATTAACTCTATCCCAGCCGAAACCAGGACAACTACCAAACAATCAGATCTATAGGAAATGGAAGAGAATGCTATATTTGCACATTTGAAAGGTAGTAATACTACTGCTACTACTATCATTGCTTTGATATAATTTATTTGTAAGAGGTTGGGTCAGGCAACAACTGTACCTGAAGATGCGGAATCAAATCACACAGAAGTTGAAGAATCTGGCATTCCAGCATGGAGGGTGCTTCTTTGTGCTTTGGACCATGAGGCTGAAGTAAGATCTTAAGTAAACCCATTCGCAGTTCAGCATATTCCCGTAACTGAGATGGTTCGCAATACAGGTATCTTAGAAATGGAGCCATTATGCCAACACATGAACTCTGTGCCCTGCAGTTCAAGAAATAAGTTTGCCAAGACTGCTTTCTACTGAAAACTTAACAAATGACAAGGAAAACCCAAGCAATGTGACATTCCCTGCAATTATTTACAAGATGCAATTAACAGAAAGGTGTTTTAAAAAGCATTAAGTCTCATAAAAAACCTTTGACTTAATAGCATGAAGTACTGTCATGAGACCTTATAAAGCAACCATACAATGAAGTGCAATTGTGAAAAGACTCAATATTTAAGCATGACTACTTAGTATGTATTTGCAGATTATGACACTCTTGATTCTTTTTTTTTCTCATCAATTCAAGAAAGTGACTTTCCTTGCTGAATGTCACGAGAGACTAGTGTGCCATTCTGAAGTAGCATTTGGATAAGACTACTAAGAAATATCTTTTTAAAACATAAAACCTAATTTCAATTAAAAAGAGCCATCCATTCCTTGCCAGTTTTTGCCCAATGGTCTTAAACAATTACGTGACACAGGAACGGCTTTAACTGAGATGGCTTCCCAGTAAAAAACTTATCACAGAACAATTCTTTTGGCTTGATCATGTTAGGAATACCAGCGGTTCTTGACATTATTAAAATAAACAAATAAAGCTAATGATCAATACATTAACAAATCTCCAGGGAATCAAAAGTAAAAGTCAGTTTTAAAAAAGACTCAGCCCTGATGCAGAGCTTTACAAATAACTCGCTAATAGATCTACATCAGCATATGTGGTGCTTGTTGACATTGTGCTTAGGGACACGGTTTAGTCGCAGACTTGGCAGTGTTAGGTTAATGGTTAGACTTGATGTTCTTAAGGGTCTTTTCCAACCTAAATGATTCTACGATTCTATATTCTCCGTCTAGAACTTCATTCCACAGAAACCTTTGCACAAAAAGCAGCAAAAGAAGTTTAAGATATTACCCTTTCCAGCAAGAACAACTCCTGTTTTAATTCAAAACAAGCCACTAGCAAATATCCACAGTTCATTCTATCATTCAGACATCTGACAGGACTCTTCACAAGTCCCAGATTTAACAGGTGAGTGGAAGAACAAGTCTACAAACAGTATTTTAACAATACTCTGATCAATTTATTTGAACAAAACACACTTTTGCTTGAAAGTCTTACTGTTGATCATGTAGTCTAAGCCCACTAGAAATTTAAGAGATTAATAAACTTACTTGTTTACTCAGAGCAACAGAATACAGAAGCCAATTTCACTGTACTATTACTGTGTTGGATTTGTATCGGTGTTCCAGAAACAGGAGAAAAGAGATATTTTCTATCTAAAAAGCATACATATAGGTGTAAAATCACTGAAAATGTTTGGCTTTAAGGCTGCTACAGCATTTGGTATCTTATACTGAAGCTTTATTGGACAAGTTCCTTGGAGGTAAGCATGGAGAAATGTTGAAATTGTTGGTAGCTTATATATTTGTTCATTATTGAAGATATTTAATAATAAGGCTCTGCCGCTGATTTTTTCCTTTTTGTTCTTTTAAAATCACCAAGCATACATAATTTTTAAAGACCTCATCCTTTACTGTGAGATGTAATTGTCTGTGCTTTCTCTTTATCATCCCACTATTTTGTATAGATGAGTTATACCTGCATACTAGTAATTTTTTTTGACTAAGCAGTCTGACAAAGCAAATTGTCAAAATTGCTTATTTTAGAAAAAAATTGCAAAGGTGCTATAAATTTTGCACTAATTTTTCCACATCTCTAAAAAATATATCATCATAAAAGAGTTAAGAAAAAAACCTATAAAAATTGATTTTTGATGGGTTATTCTAATATTTTATTAATATCCTATTTTTAACCTTTAAATGGCGCGATTACATTTTATAATCTTTTTTAAATGACAGAATTCTCAGTGGTCATTACAGCTGACTTCAAGAAAAAAGTTACACTGATATGATTCAGTTATCTATATTTGCTATTTTTTAAGTATTCATTTATTTACCTTTCTGGACACTGATGGAAAAATACTGTTATCTGCTGCAGTAGAACGGGCCAGCAATCAGGTCTGTTTTCAAGGACATTGATTAACGGATGAGGAGTGTTCCTGAAATACAAAGAAATCACATTTGGATCTATAATGCAGAAAGCGAGTGTGCAAAATAACTATTTTCAAAATAAAAGCAGCTGTAGAAGTAGGCTATTGAATCCCCTGGTATTACCAACTCCCTTTACCAGCTTTGCCAAGACTGCTACGCTGTCAAAAGACCACATTTTATAGGAACTTCAAGAAACAAGATTAAAACAAAATATTCAAAACGTCTTGGTATTTTTTTTTTAAATAAACATCAAAATATCACTGTTCAAATGTCTGGTCTGATTTGATTCATTGGTAGCAGCATTAGGGTCTAGCAGTGGGCTCCAAATAGTACCACAAAATTTGAACCACATCACACATCAGTCCATTCTTTCAAGCACAGGTACAAATCATTAGCACCCGAGACCAACTGAGGTGATTTGTGACCCCACATACTACTTTAAATCTGCTCCAAACTCACTTATTTACTCTTCCTATTTTTTTAGGTGGTGAAAGAAGCAGGAAAGGAGAAAAGCTGGCCATAACACCAGCCTAGAGACCTCCACTTTACTGCCAGCCCTCTGACAATGGCTGCATTTGGAAAGGTCCCTGAAACCTAGTGGTCATCTGTTCTTCTCAGATGAATCTATCACCAACACCTTCCCTACCTCCAAAGTCAATGGCTGAAGACCATCTACACCACCTAGAAGTGTGATGCTCACACCAAACTGTGACTATCCTTGTACAGGAGCAGGTGGAAGAAAAGCTGGGCAGGAGGGGAGCCTGAAGTACATCATTTGTTCTGTCAGAAGCAAAACCAAAGTCATTTGACTAGAGTAAGTTAGCGAAAGAAAGGAAAACAGAATATGAGAGTCTAAACATAAAATTTCCTGAAGAGGTAGGAAATTGGAAAGAACTGGTGATGTCAAGGCAGGTTCATCACTACCTCCACCACCTCCTTCTTGGAGTTTACCCACTGTCCTTGCTGTGACTGGCCCCCTTATTCCCAGCTGCCTGCTAAGTGTCCTTACGTCCCCCAGTTTCCTTTCCTGCTTCAGCTAACTACAAGCAGTCGTGTAGATTCTTCTCTGGGATACAAACAGCTTAACAGCAGAGAACCAGATACTTCCTGGCTCTCAGAGCAGACAAAACCCTTCCTAATAACAAGAGATAAAAGTTGGAAGAGTCTTGCTGATTCCTACAAATCTGCCAGACACATGAGAGAGCACAGGACTACACAAATAAATGGAAAGGCAACAAATGCATGCACGCCACATAAGGCTGGCAGCCAGAGAGGGGTGGCGTAAATCCAGAACTGCCGATGCTGCAGAGCACCACCTTCAGTTTGGTTAACCATCTTTCCTGTTCTTATGCCCAACAAATTTGTGCTACGCACCAGAGATGTTCAGTTTTACCTATACAGCACTACCATTGCCAAAAATCACACTGGAAAGCAGGATAAGTACCACTGCATAACGGAGGGGGGCAAAGGAGGGAGGCGGGAGGAGGTCACAGTAGATTTCAGTCTCAGCGCTGAAGTTTTTTGCAGCCTATAACTGGGATAATTCCAAGAGTTGCAGGTGCCATCTTACTTCAGCGTTGCATTCAGCTCTCTGTGCAACATGCTCCAGTGCTCACATTGAAACATTTTTCCTTATATCCAGTCAGAAGCTCCTGGTTTTAAACAGATGGTCACCCTCCATTATTATTCCACCAAGAACCAGACTCTGCATTCCTGGTACCCTTTCTTCCTCTTCATCTGCCAAGGGTCTTGGGAGTCTGGCAAGGTCCCTGCTGACTGGAAGCTAGCCAATATTATCCCAGTCTACCAAAAAGACAAGAGGAAAGACTCAGGGAACTACAGACCTGCTAGCCTAACCTCAGTTCCCAGAAAAATTATGCAGAAGATCATACTGGGTGCTACTGAAAAGCACTTAAAGGACAATACAATCAGGCACAGTCAATATGCCTAACTATCTGATACCCTTGAATGAAGGTCACCCACCTAGTAGAGGAAGGGAAGGTGGGGAATGCAGCTCTTTTGGATTTCATTAAGGCTTTTGATACTGCCTTTCACAGCATCCTTTTGGACAAGTTCTCCCACTGCAAGATAAGCAGCTTCATGGTGCACTGCGTGAAGAACAGGCTGGACAGCAGGGTTCAAAGCGTTGTAGTGAATGGGGCTACATCCGGCTGGCAACCGGTCACCAATGGCATTCCTCAGGGAATTCTAGGGCCAGTTCTGTTCAACGATCATTTATCAACAATCTGGATGCAGGAGTTGAATGCACTTCTAGTAAGTTTTATGATACTAAACTGGGAGGTGCTGGTGACTCTCCTGAGGGACAAGAGGCTTTGCAAGGGGGGCTGAACAGATGGAAGCACTGGGCAATCGTTAATGGGACGAAATGTAACAAGTTGAAATGCCAGATTCTGCGCAGACCCAGGGTGGAGTAATGCTGGGCACAAGTATAAATTGGGAGAGGAGTCTGGAGAGCAGCCCTGCAGAAAGGGACCTAGGGCTGCTGGTCGGCAGCAAGCTCAGTGTGAGGCAGCAGTGAGCCCTGGCAGCCAGGAGGGCAACCTGCACCCTGGGGGGCATCAAACACACCATCACCAGCTGGCCAAAAGAGGTGATTGTCCTGCTGTATTCAGCATTGGTGCGGCCTCACCTCAACTACTGTGTGCAGTCCTGGGCCCCGCAATTTAAGAATGATGTTGAGGGGCACTTGATTGCGTCCCAGTCATACAATGGAGGGCAACAAAGCTGGTGGAAGGGCTGGAAGGCATGTCCTCTGAGGAGTGGCTGAGAAGAGGAGGCTGAGGGGGGACCTCATTGCTCTCCTCATGCAGCTTCCTGAGGAGGGGAAGTAGAGCGGGAGGTGCTGAGCTCTTCTCCCTGGGATCCAGCCACAGGATGTGTGGGAATGGCTCAGAGCTGCATCAGGGGACGTTCAGACTTGACATTAGGAAACATTTCTTTGAGGGTGGTCAAACACCGGAACAGGCTTCCTAGGGAGGTGGTCAATGCCCCAAGCCTGTCACTGTTTAAGGGGCATTTGGACAATACCCTTAAAAATATGCTTTAAGTGTTGGTCAGCCCTGGAGTGGTCAGGCAGTTGGACCAGATGATCATTGTAGGTCCCTTCCAATTCAAATTGTCTGTTCTATGTATATTTCAGTCCTTGGGAAGGCTGCTGTTAGAACCTCTCCAAAGTGTTCTCCTTCTCCAGCCTAAACATGCCCAATTCCCTCAGCAAACAGCATGTGCTTCAGCCCTGTTACCATCCTAGAGGCCCTCCATTAAACTTGCTCAGTTTATCATTTCTTTCTTGTACTGGGGGCCCCAAAGCTGGATACTACTTCAGGTACAGTCTGGTAAGTGCCAAGGAAAAAGCAGGCTGTGCTCCTCTTCCAGTACCTATCTTTCAAGTCAGTTATTAAAAATCTGGAGAAATTTAGTTATTCTCATGGCTGTCTCACAAAGGCCTGGAAAAACACACCTCTTTGTGTCAGCACAAGCCAACAAGGATTACATTAAGCAATAGTGTCATTGCAGCCTAAGTACCTTAATGGAGAACAGAAATTTCATAGAGCAAGAAATGTCAAGCTAGCATACAAGAATCAGAGGTTGGTAAATGAAACTGGCAAATTCAGATTGAAAAAAGAGAATGTATCTTCACAAGAATCAGTCACTGGAACAATTTATCAAACTCAGAAGATAGTTTTTTTGTGGGTTTTTGTTTGTCTGTCTTATGCTACGTTCTCACTCTGCTTCTCAAACAATTTTTCTTCCGAAGAGGTATGTTTCTGTTCAGATAAATAAATCATCTGAAGACACAGGGACTTTCAGAAAGCTGGCTGATGTGATGAACTACTGGAAGCATGTTCAGTAAACAGACACTAAGATCACAAAGTATGCATATACCACAGGTCTGGCCTTCATATTTGGTGCCACAAGCCTGGAACTTCCTACATTCATTTGTCTAAAATTTGTTAACTTACATACATAGTCTTCATATATCCATCTTCCTTGATTCTGTAAACATTTTACTGAAGTTACAAAGTCTTTTACAGTCTGTGCACAAAGACTAGAAGGCCTAAGGTTATTGCCTCACTCCAACTTTCCAAGATGACAGCATGCAAGAGGCAAAAATCTTGTTGCCAGTCTAGCACTTGAATCCAGCAAGACCATAGACAGGATAATTTACCAGGCAGCAAGCTAGAAATACTGTTTACATACCCTGCCAGGACCTTGAAAGTGCACAGCCCTGGACAAACATAGAGAGTTATAGCAGCTGCTACACTTCAATACTTTTGTCATCTTTTAAGAATTCATTACCTTTCCTAATAAGAAGAATATGTCTCCCATCATCTTAAGTGCTGCTATGACACTGGAGTCAATGGAAACTTCATGAAGTCAGCACATGTGACACACCAAGTCTAAAATTAAAATGTCTTACTAACCAGGAAAAAGGCCTTTTATGACAGATTTTGTGTGTTCTGAAACGAATATAACTGCACTGAACTGGATGATGAAAGAAATCATTTAAGTTCCATAGTGAACAGTGATTAATAATGAAACACCAGTGCAGCCCGAAGAAGTTCCATTTGATAAAGCTATCAGCGGTAGGAAAAATGAAGTGCGTAGATGTAATTTATTGTAATACTGACTTAAGAATTGCTAGCACAGCACTGTAAAACGCACATCTTTAAATGACATTATAGTAGTACTCCCCTAAATTATAGCCAGTGGGTTCAGGATAAAGCAAAAGGCACAAGCAGACACAGCAACTACCCACCTGTAAATACATAAACATTTAGGGAAACAAAGACAAATCCTATGTGAGCAGCAACAATAAAACAAAAATTGTTTTTAACTTTCAGGTCATCTCAATCTTTTTGTTACATCTCTGAATATAAGAGAGCTCCAATCTGATTTAGAGCACAAATTCAGTGACAGATTGCTTTTTCTGTATAAGGAAACAACATCTGCAGTCAACATACTTTTCTGTGTATGCAGCTGTGACCCTAGCCCCTTTAGAAAGATGGAATAGCACTTTACTCCATCAAATATGCATTTTTAAAGCATTTTTCTACCTGCTTTGAATTTTGATTTCAGAAAGTTGGCATCTCTCCAGAATTTTAAGACAATAAAAACCATGCATGGTGAATTGTTAAGAATAATGTAAAATACTAGTTAATTTAAAAAAAAAAAAGAGTTAATAGCTTTCAGCAAAAAATTTATAGCCAAAGTTCTGCATATGCATGTCATAACCCACCTGCACTGAGAACGCTGGCACATTCCTCACAAAAACCCTTCTTCCCTCCCCTCCCCTCCCACATCAATTCAGCTTGAGCTTAGGTTACTGGACACCTATATCAATATGCATAGGAAACAGGCAATTTCATGTATTACAAAAGATAGTAAATCCACTGGGAATGCTCAGTTCTAGTCCACAGTGAGACCAACTTACAAACTACTACCATGTCTGCTACAGCTGGTCCTGACTTCACAACAAAAAGTGCAGAACACCCCATATGTGAATTTAAAAATCATATAAAACTTTTTTCACACATCCTTAAAAGAAACCCAGCATATTTGTTTTGGTATTTACACACCATTGGAATACCAAGAAAAAAAAACCTGACGAAACAGTGGTACTTACACAGCTTACGGAAACAATTAGGAATCCCAAAATTCAGTGATATATGATACAGTTTTCTACCAACTTACTAGGGTAAAAGGAACATTTCCCACTTTCTTCTCTATTTTCCAAGGTTGCTTTCCTTACAGGAAGTGGAGAATCCCAGCATGAGAACTACAGAGGCTTCTCCAGATGAAATCAGAAAACCTGTGTAGTGGGTTGACCTTGGCTGGCTGCCAAGTGCCCACCAAGCTGCTCTCCCACTGCCCCTCCTCAGTTGGACAGGAGAAAAAAAAAAAGATGAAAAACTTGTGGGTCGAAATAAAGGCAGTTTAATAAAGAAAAGCAAAGGCCATACATGAAAGTAAAGGAAAACAAAAAGATCTATTCTCTACTTCCCATCAGCAGCCGATGTCCAGCCACTTCCTGGGAAGTAGAGGTTTCATATGTGTAGTGGTTGCTTTGGAAGACAAACACCTTAGTAATGAATGCCCCCTCCCAGCTCTTTTCTCTTAGCTTTTATTGCTTGAGCACAACATCATATATTATGAAATGTCCCTTTGGTCAATTTGAGTCAGAAATCAAGTTTTAATGGCACTTGACAGAATGGCAACTACAGAAATTGTTACGTAACAAGTCACTAAATAAAGACAGGCCTTTCTGTACATTAGAAATCGTAAGTCAGATCTCAAAACCACAGGGTCTTGACCTACAAGATATGCAAAACTAAGTCAAGCAATCTGACATCTCTCTCTTGTGAAAGTTAACTGGAAGCAAAAGGAAAAACAAAAAGCCTACTGGCTAAGTATAAGTCTGCTGCTTATGTTCAGTTCTCCATTACTTTAAATTATTCTGAACAAACAAATTTCACCTTTCTTGTATGTTACTGTCAATTTTTCTTTTGGTAGGTGCGGTGAGGGAAGTAATAATCTTTCTTCTGTGGAGAGGCTATTTATTTATTCCAGCCACATCCTACTAACCTCTTTCTCACACAGAGCCCAGATTAAGTTGCTTTAACTTAGCCTCTTTTACCAGGAGACATTAAATAAGTTTATTTACTACTAAAGCAAAAAAGTTTCCAGAAGAGTTCCATCTTACTACCCTTCATTACCTGCCTTGTCAATTAAAACTGTTCTGTAAGAGTGTGGACTTTGTAGAGAGAACTGATATAGCTAGAAAAGCAAAGGTACACAGGATTTCAGGAATGTAAGCGCATCCAGTACTCCAAAGTCTGTTTTACTTTTCTTCACTATTTCATTTTGCCTAAGTGAAGACATGATTTGTGTCTTCCAAACAGTGCCTTTTATATCCTTAAAGCATTAGGGCCACAGCCTGCTACAATGGTACCTCTTAACTGCATAAAAAGCAACTTGAAAAATGTTCATGACATCTACCAAGCTGGGACCTTCTCCAGAAAAGATACAATAGTGGCTGTTAATGTCAGCACTGACTCATGGTTTCTCAAGAGCTGGATGAAGTCATTAAGATGTCACTGTAGGAAGGCTGCTATTGCATGACAAGCAGCTTTAGATAAGCAGCTCTGGATGCATCTTTAAATCATTTTTATGTGGCAACCTCTTTAACAGTAAAAGCATTCAGGAACCTTACTTTGATAATAGGAACAAAGCAAGAAAAACAAGTGAGAGGGAAGTGGTCAACAGTCTTAAAATAAAAGACTTGTTAAAAGGACTATTAGCAATCATCCAACTACTGTATTTGAAGAAGTCCCAGTATTTATTTGTTCTTTCTTGCACACAGCCTTCATGTTGCCATTGCCCCATTGGAGCTTATAGTAGCAATCTTATCCCTGTACTATAGAACTCTGTAAAACTTTCAGCCAAAAAGATCACAGAATAAGAGAATGATTTAGGTTGGAAGGGAACTCCTCAGATCACCTAGTCCAACCCATGCGCTCAGAGTCATCTGTGAAGGCTGCCCAGGAGCACATGAAGTCAGGTTTAGTTATCGCCAAGGATGGAGACTGCACAACCTGTGCGGGCAACCTGTACTAGTCCTTGATTACCTGCCCAGCAATGAGAGAGAGACAGACTGAAAGCCAATATCAACACTTAATCACACACACTAATATATGGGTTTTTTCCTGGAAATCAGACAAAAATTTATTCTAGCATCTAAATAAAACCGATGTGAAACTAACCTGATTCCATACAGATTCCAAACAGCCTCATCTCCATCTTTTCCCAGTTGAATAGCTTGAATTTGCAGTAATTTCCAAATAGTTTTTACTAAACCATGCACATTCCTGTTGACAAAAAGAAATACATTACTGTCATGTATGTATTACATTAGTTGATTCTTCCATAAGAGGAGGAATCCAGGAACAAAATCTACACTCAAGAAGCCTTGAGTTCTCCTTAAGGACCTCCTCACATCTGACCACACAATTTTGGGCAAGCTGTGCATCCACGTGTCTTTGTCTTCCTTTTTACATAATAAGCAAAACAGCAGAGAGAATGATTAACCATCAATTAAAACTTTAGACTGTTTGCTTCTACCCTATCTTACATTTGCTGTCCCTAGCTTAACTGAAACTGGTGCTTTTAGTAAGTTAAAAATGGAAAATTAGCTCTTCCCCAAATCCAAGTATATAGGTTAATATGCAGCATGGTACACAAATTTCAACCATGCCACTCTCCAGCAAAAGAAAGCAAAAGAAATCACACTGTCAGAAAAGACACTTGAGACATCTAGTTTGTGCTGACTTTTGATCTCAGGAGCCAAGGACTACATAAATACATACGGCTATTTTATTTCCCTCCTTCTATGTTGTTTAACCTACCATTCAGGAAAATTCAAGAAACAACAGTACTTCTGGAATTTTGACAGGATTTCCCATATTCTCCTGGAGAGACACTAAGGAAATTAAAAAAGTCCGCCACAAGGGGGAAGAAAGCTCTGTGACCATGCAGTAAAGAGCTCAAGAAGTCTAGAGCTTATTACTGCTTGGCTGAGGACAACTTTCAAAATTTTCCTCTCGTCTTCATAATTAAGTGCTTTCCACACCTTTCCAGCCAGACCATGCCAGATCCAACCCAACCCCTTCTCAAGAAAATAGCCTGGTAGAAGCAGAGGGGAAAAAAAAGATCAGGGTTGATTCTTTGACTTTTCATCTCAAACATGCTATACAATTGCATCATCATCCCCTAAAAATCTATCAGATAGTTTACTACTCACGTTAATAAACCATAATTACTCCTCACTTTATTCAGATAATGAACAGGAAGAGCTAACACAATAACAATCGTAAGAGATCATCACTTGACAAAAAGTGACTTCTATCACACAGGGAAAGGTAAGGGAGGAGAAAGAGAACTGGGTGCTGAGGGGTTTTTTTGTTTTTCTTTTTTACTGTTCCCCCTATTTTCCTTCCCAGCAGGAAAAAATCTGAGAAATCTATTTTATCTGCAAGTCCACTTCTCCATCAGTGAATGAAAAGCTGCAGGAACTCCTCAAATGGCGAGCTGGAAACAAGAAATTATGCAGAATTTATGTAACCCTCTCATAGGACAAACAAACCATCATCCTCATTTAACACATAAGCAAACTGAGATACAGTAATTTTAACTGTTTGGCATAGAGTGCAGTATGCTCCACAAACATATTCCTAAATTATGAAAGGACATACATACATTTAGACTTCTAAGCAATACCAAAAAGTCTGAACAAGTTTAAGCAATTTCTATTAAAGAACAGGGCAGGGAGACTTCATGTGAAAACTGTTAAGAGACAGGAGTTTACACACAGGCTGGACCAACATGAGCACAACAATGTGTGGTAACAACATGTAATCACAAAGAAATATGACTAGATAGCCACAAATGCTCTACTGAAGATTCAAAAATTTCAAAGGCAAAGGATCATATGATTATAGAATCATAACCTAAAACCCCCTCAAATAATTCATAAAAGACAATGGGAACACACAGGCAAATACCACTTTCAGTTGCCAGAGTGCTTTACTATACTTATCTCCACCTGCAGACAGACTCTCTTCCATAAGCTGGTATGCCATACTAGGGAACATCTGGAGATTCCCACAGCGGATTTCCCCACCAATAAATGCTTAGCTTCATATTCCAGATACAGGCAAAGTAGTATGTTCTCTCTTCTGTGCCTTTCATACTTTTGCCAACAGTGCTGGAAAACGCTGACCCGGATCAAAACTGACAGAATATGCTTCTGCTTTCTTTCTTTATCCCAAAAATGGACCAGTTAAAAGATGTGCCTGTAATCTTTAAAATGACTGGCTGTAGTGACACCTGGCTCTCAAAACGCTGAAATCTGACTATACAAGAAAACTTGAGGTTTGACAAAACTCTGCGGCAAAGCAACCAACAGGAAGATGTGTAGCAAGCTTCCAAATCCCAATGCAGTCAGCGTAACACACAAAGGAGGAAGGAGAGTCTTGTGGGGGGGAGGAGATGGGGGATGGCGGAGAGAGAGAGAAAAAAACCCCAACCTTTTAGATGCTTCATGGATAGAAAGAGTCAGTTAAATAGGAATTTCCTAGCATATTCCCCAGATTCAATTGGATAACTATGCAGCAAGAGCAAACACAAACCATAAAACACTCAGTAAGAAAACAGGCTTCCCTGTTCTGAAACCCCTGTATGGCTGCTCCTAATTCCCAGGTAGGAATGTGGTGGAGAACAGCTGGTTTGCACTCAGCTCCTGAACATTAGCAGCACAATGGCATAATATATTGCAAGGATCTCCCCATCTCCTACAGGCATGGATGCTCAGGTGATAAAAACATTCTGAAAGCATACATGCACACAGAAGTCCTGATAATTTCTTAAAGATTACAATATCATGGTTTAAGTCCTTCCAGCTGGCAACTAAGCACTATGCAGCCACTTGCTCACTCTCCCCCTCCCCCTGGCCAACTCCCTCCACTTTATATACTGAGCCTGATGTTGTGTGGTCTGGAATAGCCCTTTGGTCAGTTGGGGTCAGCTGTCCTGGCTGTCTTTGACCAGTGTCAGAACTACGTAGCAACAACTAAAACATCAGGGTGTTATCAACATTCTCCTCATCCTAAATCCAAAACACAGCACTATGCCAGCTACTAGGAAGAAAATTAACTCTATCCCAGCCAAAACCATGACACAATAATCCATTGTTTCAAATTTCCAGTAGATTGACTTGATTATTTACACTCATTCATTATTGATACAGGCCACAGTTCTACCTATCATCATCTACACAGAAAGCTAGAGACCAGTGTTAAAAATGTGCATGTACATATTTATAAACGTATACACATTTTGTATATATGCAAACAGACCCAAACACACATGTATGTATGATGTTCCATGAAGTTTAAACTCATGGAGCATCAGAGGAAACAACACTGGGTATAAGAGACAGGTATGGTACAATGATGCACCAGAAAGGCAAGAATAGATTCCCATTTGTATAATGAGCAGATACCATGAACCACATAACAAGTCAACTCAGGTAAGCACTGAATGTTCACCTCTGACAAAGCACGAAGTCTTTCCTAGGATGCAGAATTTGACACACCTGACCAATTAGAACCCACCAGGTGCACTAAGCCCTGTTAAATTCATCATAACAGAAGAGAAGCAAGAACACAAGTAGTCTTTGCCAATAAAACATTCACCTAACTCCATTCAGCACTGGAAGGTGCTCAGCGGTTGCAAATGCCTTTCTGCTGGCTGCCACAGGCTGCTATTTGTATATTTGCTTTATCTTAGAGACACTGTGCACACAGCAGTGTGAAGACACAGAGCAAACTTGGATGAACACTTGGCATGGAACAGGATGACAAACAGCAGGTTAAACTCTGAAGGAGTCAAGAAAAAAAAAAGTCTCAGCACTGAAATGAAACAATCTGAAATTGTCAGTTTAATCAGCCCCTGAAGCTACAGACATTTTAAACCCACAGGCTTTTGTGGTTAGGCTACATAAACCTTCCTTTCCAATCCATAGTAGATGTGGTTTGAATTGTGGCATCTTGGGCAGGAGGTGGGAAGTGGCCAAAAATACATAAGAGGTTCCTGGGTAATTTGCCAGCACTTACTATAGCAATCAGTCACGCATGTTGGTTTCACACATGCAAAAATCTAAGAATGGTGTAGAAATGGGGCAGACCTAAGCTGTTTCAATACATAACTCTGATTTTATTTTTAAGGTTAACTCAATCCTAAATACAACCATTTTACACTTTTTATTTTCTGAAGTACAAAACTGTATTAACATTTCATTTCCTTATAAATCGCTGACACTGTAGCAAACCCTTAGCTGAACATGTATTTCATGCTGCTTAGTCTGCAAGCTGCAGCTAATGGAACTTTCCCTCCACCTTACCCTACAGGACTCTGGTTTTCATGTGCTAAGCACAGGCAATTTTACTTCTTTGTTAACGATGCAGATACTTCCCTTAACCCCAAACTGAACTACTAAAATTTTGTCATTTGGAGGATACTGGTTTGCAGAAATTATTCGTATTTAAAAAATGTAATTACAAAACCTTTCCTAGGGATCCATAACCACCTATTGTAAACTCAGCACAGAATCAGCATTCTTCACAGCAAGATCCTAGCTGTGAAGAAGCAATTCACGAGAAACAGTTTTTAAAAATATCTGATTTCTTAAGCATTTCACCAATTTACTCAAACCTAAACTCACCTTTAGCTCAAACTGATCATGACAAACCTCAGCCTAAAACTGATTACGTGAAGGTTAGAAGGGGTGAAAAAACACGTCTTGAATAGTGTGGTTCTTGCAACCCCTATGGTGAGCACACCAGCATAATGTATCACAGGTGTAGCACCAATTAGCTGTCTTGGCTAAAAACAGCTAGCATTCTCTAGGAAGAGAAGGCTTAGTGCAGAAATCCAGTTAGCTGCCAGAAATCAGAAGAGAGAAAGATAACCCAAGGAACTTTAAGGTTGGTAGAGTTGAGTGGAAACATTTTCCCAATCATCATTTGACTTCCCTTTTATGAATTTTATACACAGTGTCTTTGTCCCCCATAACTACATTCTTTCAGTATGTTGATCAAAACACCATTGTGAGATGTAGGTATTATATTTGCAGAATTTTCTAAGAGGAAGTAGCTGCAGGTAAATTTATTTCTTCCTCAACAGACAAGGAAACAAAACCCAGCATTCCTAATCCCTACCTGGTGACTCTATTTGAGCAATTAGTTATTTGGACAGACTGATTAGGAAGTCATTTTCCTCACTCCTAAAGGAGGGAAGTTTTTGCCATTTTCTTCCCCTTCCCCATGACAGAGTCAACAAAACCAGGCAGTGCATTGATTTCTGAGGTTCCACAGTTCCAAGTCCAGAGCACTAGTCTAAACTGCTAACAACTGCAGCTTACATGCACAGGATACTCTGTGACTTAAGTCAGACCCATGCTGTCACACTGCCAAGATGAAAGCAACAGCCTTCAGCAGAGTGGCAGGGGAATGCCAGTCCTTAATGCCACAGCTTATTTGAAGATACTGTCATTTGTAGAGCCTCCCCTCTTCCCCTGTATTTACAAGGGAAAAGCAATGACTGATAAAAAGCTGGTAAAAGACACAAAATCAGGCAACCAAACACTACCTCGCTGAGGGAATGAGGTTGAGAGCTCCATGAAGAACATAGTCAAGCTCGGCATGTTTCTCTGCAACAAGTGCCACCAACCCCTCAGAGCAGGCTGTTCGTAAGGCAACATTCTCACTGCAGCACTTCTCCCAAAGCAAGTTCAGCGCCGGAGTCTAAAGTCAAAAGCATGAGACACAAGCAATGAGAAGGCTGACACTGACTTCTCTTCATTCGTTTCAAACACACTTTTAAATAAAAACCTGCTCAACAGCTTCTCTCGAAGTCTTAGAAAGCACAAGAGAGGAAGCTGGGATAAAGATTCTGCATCTAAGAAAGGCCTGTCCCAGGACAGCTCCCACTTTCCTGCCCCGTACTGCTTACACCCTCAGCAAGGACAGGAATCTCTGAGAAAAGGTTAAGGCAGACGAATTTTTCAGCTATGCCTATGCAGGTAGGCTATCATCAATTTCACTTTTCTTAAAAAAACCAAGATGTAATTGGAGACAACTCAGGAACTGCTACGTCAAGCTATGTCTACAGCAAGGTGTAGTGCAGACAACTAAGGCAGGCATACAAAGGGCTATCCCAGAGGTAACTTGTCTGTACTCACCATATGAAGTCCTCAGTTCTCTCCATTTGCTAGCAAGCACAAAGATTTGGCAGCATCCATCAAAACTGCTGCTTGCTTTCATGCTAAATTTGCATTCACAGGTTTGTTGACTTTGTAGCTTCCAAATGGAGAAACAAGGAACATTTCTAAACAACTGAACACTGCAAAATGCTCTTAAAAAGGGAGCCTCTAGTGTCCAAGCAGCACAATCTTTTGCTTTCTTAGCATTTCAGAAGGTACTGCTGTATTTCAGTTTAATACCTTCACGGAGTGGCAAATGGGAAGAGTCAGCTTGTATCTCAAAACATAATGTAATTTGGGAAAATGATTGTGACGAGGATTGTCGGAGGAGCTTCCATTATAGAAACTACCCACCGCCAACATTCCCTCATGTCAGAACTTTTCACATTTGGGGTTGCTAGTTTGGGGGGAGGGGGTTAAGACTTCAGACTGAGGAAAAATCCACAAACCATTTTCTGCTCATTTCTGTACAAGTCAGCTTTTGGCGAGCGAAACGTAGGAGCGAATCCTAACTAACACCTCTCCTACGTTGCGGTGACACTTGCAAATGCCAGCATCTCATATGCCTCTCAGTTAACAAGACAGACCTGCACTTAAGTAAGCTTGACTCAATTAAAAGGCAAAGTATGCCTTTGCCCCATGCTCTCTCTCAAAGAAGTATAAGCTCTACTTAGCTATTATGAAATATAACACCAATACAGGTGTGTGAAACGCCATACTTTCTGAAACGTTTATAGTGATGTAAAAGACTTTCCTACTCAAGTGACAATGTCTCACCATATAGCACTTCACTTGCAGTAAAGTAAACAAACTCAAATAAAACGCTCTTAAAACTGAGCATAGCTAGATGTTGGTATTCTGCAGAATTAAGACTTCTGCCATTAAAACTTCTGATGGAAGTAAAACTGCTCTTCTGATATTTACTGTTTCTACCTGTATGTAGATACATATTGCTAACTACCTTACTTAACTTCTAGGATTTATCAAAATTACAGAATGGGGAATGGGAAACCATAGAAAAATGTAAGCACGTATGGATGGGAGAGAAGACAAAAGTGAAAGAATGACTCAGACCTGGTCAGACGCCTGTTGGATCTTCTCCGAAGAAACATTTTCTTTCAATACAGCAGCAATCAGATGACCCACTGCCTAAAAGAGAAAAAGAAATAAAAAAAACTGCATGCAGATCAAGTGTTACTTTTCAATTCTCCATTAGGAAGATTTTGCACTGCTGTTTTATACGAACATTTTATCATGATTTGAAATACTAAACTTACTGGTATGGCATCTGAAATATGCTTTAGGGCCAAAAAGCTCCATAATGTTGGCATACTACTTTTTACTGTGATCCTGAAGCAGAACAGAAACAAACTTCCATAGGATTCCACACAGATCCAAGGGTCTCTTTGTACAGAACCTCTTATAAGATTAGAATCAGGTACATACTCAGGAAGTGCAGCTATTTTAATGCATCAATTGTAATAGACATTTACAGCTCCACTGCTGTACAGATCTCAGTGTACTTAACAGCATTGTTAATTACTAAATCCTTTACTATATAGGGCAGTAGAAGCAAGAGAGGAAGCTGAACACAGCAAATCTCAGCATCTTGCCCAAATTTTTGTATCACAAGTTTTGCTAAACACTGATATCATACCTTTAGCACTTTACACATCCCCTAGCACACATACTGCCTGAGATGTTTCATTTACTTTAAACAAGGCACTTCAAGTTAACAGTATTTCAGGCTTTTGAATCCAGGCTTTTGTTTTCTGACTTATCTCTAATGCCTTACTCTGTCTTGTTTCATAATCATTGATACTACCACACAAAAACCCCTTTCTGTGAGACAGAAAGACATCTTTTCATAGTAAGAGCACAAAAATGTTTCAGATTATCAATGTACCCAGAACAGCGGCTACTCTTCTATAGCAAGGACAGATCCTGACTTTTGGAAAAAGTAAACTAGGAAGCCAGCAAGAAAATAGTAACATTTCTGGTTTGTTAGCGTATGAAAAAAAGACAGGAACAGATTATTTTAAATGTTTTCAGGTTCCTTCTCCTTTCGGGATTTATTTACATTTCATTTAGATACTAGATGCTAGCCTGACATGACAAAGGGTAGAACTCTGAGATAACAGTTCACATTTCCAGGAAAGATGACACTTTAAACCTTCCTAGACTACAAGGATTATGCCTTTCAAAGGTTTGGATATGTACCGTAGCACATTTGACTTAAAGACAGTTTATTACTTTGGAATCTTTCTCATTCTGTTTTCATAAGAGTAAAGGGGACAAAGCCAGATATTTATCTCTGTTTTTTTGCAGCTATCGCATTGCAAGAGCAACAACATGTTCCCCAGGCAGATTAGATGTTTTTTAGTGCACTTACCAAGCAAATCATGTATTATTTTGTCTTTTTCCTGCTTCTAAGGAACTCCAGAAATTAATTCACACCCACATCCTTAAAATGTTTTTATTACACTGGAAAAGAGGCTTATCAATAGAAAATGGCTTTTGCAGTGAGCTATACAGGAATGTCAAAACATAGATTAGCCCACTGCCTTCCAAGAACTTGATTCACCAGTAAAATGTTCTGACCTACAAAACTATGTTCAAGTTCCTCACTTTGCTGATCCTTGGCTGTGTAGGTTACATGCTCTGCAGTGCAGATGTCTTGGTCCCATAAAGATAAGACATCTGTCACAAAGTTGAATCCTGGCTTGATGTTGGTTTGAAGATTACAGCATGCTTTTCAGGGGTCACAGAATATAAGTGGAAACTAGCAAAACAATCAAAGCACACGCCAATAGCCCTTAATGATGTGCAGCTGTAGTGATGAGCCAAGAAGGCATTTCAGCCAGACTTGTATCATGGGACATTCTTCTGCACTGAAGAAAAATGAACAGGTTCAAAGATGCTGAGTTGTAATCATCAAGGCTAGTAATGACACGGACTCATCTGCTCATTGGCTAGACCTTATATGGATTCTAGCATTCAGGGACATGACTTCCTCTCCCAAATGCCAAACTGATCACAACGGGACTTCTGTGTCTCTCTTTCAAACTCTATTATTGTAAACCAATTCAGACTGAGCTGAACCAAAAAGGCAACACAGACACTAGGGTGCAGAGACTGCATTGACATGAACTTATTCCATCAAACAAATGGCTACATATTTAATCCTGAATTCAAAACAGGAACAGGAAGAAAACAGGCAAGTTATCTTACAGCTAGAGAGATACATTTTTAATACTGAAATGACAGATGACCAAAGCAAGGAAGGTATATTTTTTTTTAAACAGAGCCTTCTTGTCCATTAAAAATACTATGATAAACATTTTATGCACATGGGAAAGTTTCAGGTGAACATAATTAGGAGCCAATGCATAGACCTGAAAATAAAGGGGGTTTGTCTGCTGATCACAGTGGAGTTGTATACAGCTATTCTTTGATGACTGGCAAGACTGAAGTAGTTCATCAGCTCTCATCACACAGGAAGAAAACGTATCAGTCTTAAAGGCAGCTCTTTAAAGTCTTGTCACATATTTCAACCCACACATGACATCTGATAATGCCTGGCTTCTCTTGAGATCACAGGGTCACTGAAAACCATTTGGCCCCACTTAAACCTTCCGGTCCCAGAAATTTTCTGATTTTCCTACAGAGCCTTTACAGTGATAAGCAATTATATCCAATGTTTGGATTACATAGATAGGGCAATTAGCATTTGTTTGCAACTTAAGAATACCCTACTTCTATGAGTTTTCTGCCTTTGGAGCCAAACCCCCCACTCAAAAAAAAAAAAAAAAAAAAAAAAAAAAAGCTTCCTTTAACCTTTTTTTAACTAGG